GAATATCATAAGGGGGTCACACATGGTCACACACTATTAAAATCAAGTGATCAACTCATGTTTTTAAGGGATTTTTTTGCTGTTTTAATAGCGTGTAACCCCCTTAATGATATTCATGATATTCATGAATAAAACCCTGAATTCTGGTGCTGGAATTGTCATGACATATATTTCTGTTTCAAGCCCTAATTTTTTTTTAAAAAACTTTTTTAGTTTATTATTTTGTGTTAACTAGCCATCATCATAAATAATATTTACTTGAAGTTATAACTCCATAGACTTCTAACTCTTTCACCTGTTCACCCTTATCATGTTCATCTAAATAATCATATAGCCTTGAGATTTGGTCATGCATTAATATAGAAATTTTCTTAGTATCAGTTGTTTTTTTTCTTTTTCCATTAATAGAATTAAACTTGGCATTCTCCACTACAAGTATTTCAATTGTTCTCTTCTTATATGACAATTTTACATCTGGTATTAGTGATTTTCTTATATTTTTATCATCATAATCTTGATTTCTGCGGTATTTATTAGCATCATGTTGACTGTCAATAAAATAAAATAACATAAATTAATACTACTGATTCTAAAATATAAAAATTCAAACAAAAAAATCTACCTGTTTATTTTAACTGAATAGTCCCTAGTCCCAAATAAATTCATAAAAATTGTGAAATGTGTGACTACAGAAATATGTGTTTCTGAGAACATTTCTTCAAAATAACTGTCATTTAAGGTGAAACAACTGCCACTAAATTAAATAAATATTTATATTAATAATTGCGATGCCAATATACATGTAAATATTTCAATACTTACAATTGAAAAGCAATAGTGTATATAAAACTTTTTATCACACTTTTCAAATCTAAATCAAGACTTTGATATGTTTTATATTTATCTATATATTCCTTAACACTTTCAACATTTGAAATTCCTTTTAGATCCTCTAACATCTGATTTATATCTTTATCAGTTAATGTGTCACAATATAAAACCTTGAAATCTTTTTTATACAGTTGAGAAATTTTTTTAAAAGCCTTCTTCTTATTTTTCCTTTCATCCTCAAGATTTATAATTCCCATTTTAATTATATCACTAGATGATAAATATTCCATTAATACGAATAAATTATGATTATCAAAAAAATTTTTTACCATTTATCAGCAGAATTATATAATTCCATAATATTTTTATTTATGCTTTTTAGAGCCTATTTAAATAATTATAAATTAGTAAAGTTTTTCCATTTTTATGAATAATCAAAATTCATACTTCATTATAATTTGATCCAAAGTTAATTACTGAATCCTCAAATTCCTTTAAATAATAATATATTGAATTGATATTTCACGATGTTAATCATTATTGAGCACTAAAGATTAATTAATTTATTGAAACAAATAATGATTATACTATTTCATCATCTTCATCCTCATCAATTTCCTTTGGTGGTGATGATAGTGTTCCTGACAAATCATTATTTTTCTTCAATTAGAAACCAAAAAGATCCAAGTTATTAAAAAGTCACTCTTATCCATCCAAAGAAAATATAATTTACTTACTTGCAATTACTGTTGGTGAACTATTTTTACATTTGTTTTGCCTGATAGTTTGCTGATTTTGGACACCAAGTTTCTACCTTTTGGTTACTGATTGTTGCCAATGTGCGACAAAATTCAATAACAATCATGAGAAAATCATCACCATTCTTAAAATAGGTAAAAATCAGCTAAAAATCAGATACCTGATATTTCACAGATTTTATTCCGAATTGTCCTTTTTTTACTTGTGATAACCTTAGACAGAAAACCATTACTGCCTTTATTTTCAACAGTTCCAGTTTCTTTTGATTATTTCAAGTTGTTCTCATTAGTAAGAGAGGTGTGTTTGTTTTTTATGTGTTTCTTTAGGGAAATGAACCACATTCATCCAAAACATGAAAATAGCTTTATGTTGTGCTTCCAATTTTTGTATTAACCATCTTTTACAAAGTAAGTTTAATTGGTGATCCTTCTATGAATAAGTGAATGTTATATAGTGATTGATGGTGAAAAACTCAAAGATTATATATACACATAATTATTTTTTCATTTATATTAACAAAGTACAAATGTTGGAGTCACAAGAATTTTGTTATCTCTCTGCATATGTAATATTTTAGATGACAAGGCTTTTTGTACTGAAAAAAAAGTACATAAAATTGGATTATTATTTTTATTCAACCAATCAAAGTTGATTATACTAAAAAATGATGAGTGAGCTGATCTTTGTAAGATTGATTGTGAATATAATCTTTGTAAAGTTTTTGAAAGATTCTGAAGCTAGAAATGTTTGTTAAATATTATACAATCAAATTCCTATATAGTCACATCCAATATAGTCATAGTCACACATTTTTTATTCCCAATTTTTTTATATAAAATAAATCATATATAGTCACTTTCATATTGTAATCACTATCACCAATATTTGGCAGTTCCATAACAAATTACAACATATAAAATTTCATCATATATAATCACCAATTCATGTGACTATACATGTAGCCCAAAGTATTCTGACACTGTCATAAAGGGGATTACATATGTAGTAAAGGGGTGTTACACTCATGTTTTTAATAGTGAGTGCCATAATTAATTTCTACTTTCTACCATCAAGATTGGAATAATTTTGACCATTGAAATCACCAAACCAAATTGGGCTGCATGGATACATGTGTCTGTGTAAATATTATTGGCTAATTGAAAATTTTTTTGAATTTTGTGTGAATTTTTGAATTTTTGAATTTTTGAAGTTTAATAAATTGTTACCATTGACATTGTAATTACCATTACCATTATTGTTGTTATTATCATTACTATCATTATTATTACCATCATTACCATTACCATGTCTCAACCAAAAAAAACCCCCCAAAAACGTATAGCTATTAGTGAGCAATTGAAAGAGAAATTTACAAATGAAGAAACAACCAATGAAGAACAAAATAATAGAGATAAGCTATATGAATTATTAAATGAGTCAAATATTAGGAATAATTTGGAGGTTTTGGAATTTATTAACAATAATGAATTGACTTTAACAAAAGAGATTTTAAATGAAGATGAAATAATTGAGATGATCTTAAATGAAGTAAATGAAGTAAATGATGAATCAGGTGAGGATACTGATGAACCAGAAGCTATTGTATGCGACAATGATGCCTTGGGGGCAATCAATAAATTACTCATTTATATTGAACAGCAAAATGATTCAGAATTTGATGAAAATGATTATAAAAATTTAAAAAAATATAAACAAAAGATTGAAAGAAGGATTTTTTTTCAAAAACACAAAAAAAACTGGAATGTTTTTTTAATTAGTCATTTTATTTGTTGTTTTTTTTATATAATTGTTATTATTTTTTTACTATATATCTTATCTACTTGAGATGTTAAATAAAATAAAAGATTTATTATAATCACCAAATTTTTAAAATTACATAGCAAGTGATTATATAGGAGAAATCCTATATAGTCACATTCAGTCATAATCACCACTAATTCGCATTCCCGATGTTGTGATTATATAGGAGTCTGACTGTAATTTAATTGCCTTATACTGCTAATGTTTTTTATTTTTTAAACTTTTTAATCTTTATAGTTTTTTTAATTCTCTTCCTTAATGTAAATTTTTTCTTTGGTGCATTTTTATATTTTTTTTCTTTTATCTTCATTTATTCAATATCACCATCATCATCTGAACTTTCATCATTACTTTCATATAAACCAATGTTATTTTCAACCCTCCCTTCTATTAATATTACTAATTTTTTCACCACCATAATTAATTTCTTCAGAATTTTGAATTTTCATCATTATTATTTCCATTTGCAATTTCTGTCTTCATTATCAAAACCTAAACTATGTGAATCATAATCCAAATCTTCCTCATCAGTATCACATTCATAATTAATTATTTTTTTTTCTTTTTGCAGTATTAATATTATTTTCACATATCACATTAAAAAAAATTGGAAACCAAATCATTGGGGTTATATTCGTAATTTTCATTATGTAAATTCCAGGGCTGCTTGCGTAACTCAAATGAGCACTTGGCTAAACTGACTAAACTATATAGTCATATGTTAAGTCAAGTTTAGTCAAGTTTAGTCAAGAAGATTATTACTAAATTAGGTTTTTAACACCTTTATGCTACCAACCCTGGTAAATTCCTTTACACTTATATCAATTTCATTTTTGTTACTACCTTCATAATTAAATAAATAATCATTTAAATCTATGTAGTCTTCTATTAGAAAATCAATATCTCTATTATGGTTATCATAATATTCATAATTTTCAGGATCAATATCTGATCCTGTATCAATGGATTCACTATTACTTTCATTGCCCTGAACCAGTGCTGTGACCCGAAACTCTGAGTTTGGGAAGACCCGAAACAGAAACTAACAGAAACCACCTGAAACCAGTTTAGGTTAGTAGTTTATGCTTAGTTTTAGTTTTAGTTTTTAGTTTTCTGCTTAGTGTAAGTTCATTTTCGGAAGCCAAAAGAGTTTCTGGTCACAACACTCCCTGAACACAAATAGAAATATAAATTGAGTTACATTTCTCAAATCCAAATAAATAATAAGCGGAACTATTGATTTGAATTTTGAAGGTAGTTAGGTTTTAGATACGGATTTAAGTTTTGGGTAAGGTTTAAGTTTCGGATATGGGTTTAGGTTTCTGGTAAGGTTTAGGTTTTGTAACGCGAAACCTAAACTAGACAGCTTTACCGAAACTGTTTTGGGAAGCCAAAAGGGTTTAGGGCCACAACATTGATTGCAAGGCAACCTTTTAATTATTTAACATGTATGGCTTAACTTTTGGGCTATTCTTGTCAGTTAATTGCAAATGATTTGTTGTTTGTCAATTATAACGATATTAACACTGTCTTTAGTGCCTGAGTCTGAAATGAGATTTACCAGTCAATATTGGTATGTAGAATGACTTTAGATAGTATGTTGGACATGCTTTTGTAAGTTTGAAATTTGAAGTGTTAAAGAGTGCTAAAATCCTATCGCGATAAATCAAATGCTAGAGTTTGATGATGTTGAATTTTTTTTGATGTTGAAGTTGTTCTTGCAAATTTTTTTTTTCATTTATATATTAATAATTTATCTAATTCTTTATCAATTAATTTGACAGAAAATTTAAAAGTAATCAAATAAACTATTTAACTGTTAAAGAGTAATATTAATTGTTTGTTACACACGCCCATATTCGAATATTATTTCGGATACGCATAATTATTTTGGATACTCGTAATTATTTGAATGCTTGTTATTTCAGATATTTGTATAAATTCTAACAGACTGTTATAGTGCAAGTCACTTAGTCCCACAACTTTCTGCGCCACAGCGGCTAATTTTGAGAAAAAATTTTATGGTCACATGATTTTCAAAGATTAATTATAAATTATCTTCCGTTCATCTGGAAAATTCACGTGACAAAAATCTGCGATATAAGATAAATTTTTCAAATTTTTATTTTGTTTCAATTCGTCTATTTTTGATATTAACTTTTTTGTGTGTAACTGGCCATTTTAGGGCCAAGAATAGTAAATTCGGTAAACTTTGTGCAACTTTAAAGCTCAAATCCTCCACAACAACATGACATCAATGAAATGAAATCGTGATTTTGTAGAGGAAGGTCTTGGCTTCAAATACACGATTGATTTTTGGGGTGTTGCATTTCTATTTTTGGAGAATTTGAAAATCTACATGACCTATAAAAAGTTGTGGGACTAAGTGACTTGCACTGTATTAATTTTTTCTTGTTCTTTAATTGATAAAGTTTCTTTTTGTACATCATCAATTTGATTGTTCATTTCAGGCTATATCAAAAAATTATTAATAAATTATATCATCATACAAATCAAACAATTACCATCATTTTTTATCAGGTGTAAGAATATTATGACATTTTAAAAATGGTTTATACAATTGAAGTATCAGGAAAAATTTTCTACAAATTCCATTTGGGTTTGAAAGAATTACTTTTTAAATGAAAATGTTTTCTGAATAAATATTTTAACTGTTGTAAAAATATATCTTATCTTTATTATCTTTGAAAAATGTTTGTTATATAGTAGGATAAGTTACAAATAAGTCGATACTATTTGTTATCAATCGATAATTATTCATGGATTGTTACAATATTATCATAACAAATGTTTGAAATGATTATATTAAAAATAAATACAAGTATCCAAAATAATTACGAGTATCCAAAATAATTATGAGCATCCAAATAATTACGAGTATCCAAAATAATTACAAGTATCCAAGATAATTACGAAATAAATTATATATATTCAAATATCCTTGAATAAATTGATTTTCGAATATTCGTAAAAAATTTGATTTTCGGATAGGAACACTAGTTTAAATAATTCTTTCGTTAGGTTTCACCCTAATTTAATATAATATTCTTCAAAATAATCTAAAGCTTCCTTTTAAAAATAATTCCGAGTTCTTTTTAAAGTGAATAAATGATTTTAAATTCTTTCCTTTAATTAATATTAATTTATTGGTTCGTTATATTTATCGTGTAACATTATAATTAATTAAAAATTGACGGGTCATTTCTGATTTATTGTTATAAATAAATGGAATTATTGTTCATTTCTCCACACTATTCAATAAATCACAATAGATAATCAAGTCAAATTTTTATATTTTATAAAAAATATTTATTTTTATATAATGTTATATCGTAATAATAAATTATTATCACCAGAAAGAAAAAAATTTATATTTAAAATTTACTGTGAAATGGGTTGTAATGCTTGTGTTAATTCTGATAAAGAAAGTAGAAAAGATTATTTTTTTGCTTTGGCTGAAAAAAATAAGAAGCTTTCTGAAGATGAAAAAGAATATTGTAAAGAAAGGTGTAATTATGACTTTGAATTATATAATGCAATGCATAAAAAAGGAAAATCAAAAGAATGTAACAAGTGTAAATTGACAAGATACTCTGATAGGTTCTGTGAAGGTTGTATTAGTTTACAATTACAAAATCTTTTCAATACTTGGACATCTGGAAATAATATAATTGATGATTTTATTCAACAATCTCAAATAAAATCATCTCTTCCAAGCCATATTTTGGAATGGGTACCTTTTGAACAATTTAAAAAAGTAACAAAGTTAACTGAAGGTGGATTTAGTTCAATTTATACTGCTACATGGACAAGAGGAACCATCGATGATTATGATGAAAATAAAAAGGAATTTAGTTATTTGGGAGAGCAAGAAGTAGTATTAAAAAGTTTAAACAATTCAATTAATCCAAGAAAAAGCTTTTTTGATGAGGTTGGTAATTGTCATATAGACAAAAACAAACAATGCTATATTATATAATATTAATTGATTTTACATTTATTTTCAGGCAATAAATTATTGTAAAATTAAATCAGGGATGATTGTTAATTGTCATGGTATAACTAAATTCCCAGATAATGGAAATTATGCAATGATTTTAAATTATCATCCAGAAGGAAATTTAAGAGATTATTTGCAAAAACATCATTTGAACTTAACATTAAATGAGAGAATTACAATCATTGGGTTTTTATGTGCTGCATTATATCACATACACAAAAAAGATTTAATCCATTGTGATTTACATAGTGGTAATGTATTATTAATAAATAAAATTTATTGTTATATTACAGATTTGGGATTATGTGGACCAATTAATGAAAAATCATCAAATAAAATTTATGGAATTATGCCATATGTTGCACCTGAGCTACTTAGAGGCAAAATTAATACAATGTACACAAAAGAATCTGATATTTATAGTATTGGGATGCTAATGTGGGAAGTATTTTCAGGTCATCCACCTTTTGATGATAGAGCTCATAACCATCATTTAATTCTTGATATATGTGAAGGTTTACGACCACCAATATTATCTAGAATACCTGATGATTATGCACAAATGATGAAGAAGTGTTGGGATGTGGACCCATTAAAAAGACCAACTAGTAGAGAGCTTTATAAATGTTTTAAAAATAAATATAAAGAAATTTTTACAGATGATGAACATGAAGTTGGTTTTAATAATGATGGCAGCAGAAGTGGTGGCAGCAGTATTTTGCAACAGGTACACAAATCACACCCAGACGCATATCACACAAGTAGAATCTTAGATGATGAGATTGCTAAATCAAAAAGTTTAAAATTTTATACAAGTTATGATAGTTCATTAAATGATCTTGATTTTAACTCTTTTCTATTAAATGTTGATATTGATAAGGTGAATAAAAATTTATTAATTGGAAGTTACTATTCATTAATTATTACTAATAATATTATTTATTATAAAGGAAAAGGATTGATGATGATTTTTATTGCATTCATTAATTATATTTTATATTATATTTTATTTTGTCAATCAATAAAAAGGAATATCAAATAAATTGTTTAAAAATGCAAACTTTGAAAAAGTATGTTATAGGATGGATTCAATCATCTGCTATTGTAAATGGATAAATAAATTGATTTTTGTTATGATTCTTCTTCACTACTACATGATAAATTTAATAATTTTAACTTTTATAAAATTTACATTGAAGCTTATTATCACCACAAAGTATAATATATCTGAAAATTAGCTCCAGGACGTCCTGTGCCTGATGTATGGAAAAGTAAAAGGACACTACTCAGCATCTTGCAAATATTGTCAAAAAACCTGGAATCGTGGAACACCTTTTAAACTCGAAGCTCATTTACCTAATGAATGTCCTGGATGTTGTTATTCCATTTCTTGTTTTATTTGAATAACAACGAGATAATAAATTCCCAAGCTCATCTGTCAAACTTTTATAAAAGTGCCGTTCTAACTGAGTAAAGCAAAAATTCAATTGGTTTTGCTTTGCCCTTTGTCATTTTTGTCACATGTGTACCGTTTGACGAAAGATTTTTACACTCTAAAATATTTTCGTCGTTCAACCTTGTTGTGTATAAAACAAAAAACAATTTATTTATTATCCCGATTTTTTAGTCTTTTAATAGCAGAGAACCGAATTCATATCCTATAACACTAAACATCACAAGCAACATACTCTTTCATAGTCCAAATTTTAACTTTTTTTTTAACAGTCAAATAGTTTATTTGATTAATTTAAATTAATAAACAAAATAAAATATATACATGTATATTATTTGAATAAAATAAATAATTAATGATAAAAATCATCATTGACCATTTTCCTTTAATAAACTTAGTAGTAATAACGGATATTAATTTCCATCAATGTTTAAGAGAAAGAGTTATAATCAAGATTAGTATTGGTTTCCAAAACTCGAGAGTTTCGCAACCGTGCGAAAGTCAAAAGGTTTAGCCAT